TCATGAAATTCAGAAAGTCATTGGCCTAGTGAGCCAGGGTGAAGCTATGTAGGACAATGGCAGGACACAGTGTATAAAGGAAGAGTGGGACTGAGCCGTCAAATGCTTAGTGAACATCTGAATGACCTAGAGAAGATGGTGAACCCTGGACCAAACATGACATGTGAACAGTGTAGACTCAAAAGGTGGTGCTATTGAACAAAGGCCATCAAGAGTGGAGAAAAACAAGGATTATTTCTTTATCAACTTACTTATTTTTAGTTCTTGACTTCCATTACCCAACTGCCTACTAAATTTCCCCTCTGGAATATATTCCCCGATCATCCTCTTCTAAATGAACATGTTTTCCCTGTAACTTACTCTTCTTCCACTTTGAAAATTTTAGACAGTAGCATTATCTTTCACCCAGACAGTGATTCTAAAAAATGAGAAGTAAGTCATTTTCACCATCACCATTTTCACCTCTCTACCAAACTCCTTCCTCCCCCGTTGGAGGACTCTCAGACTCAGACCAATGAAGGATAAAGAGAACCAGAACCACTTGTAGAGTCAGAAAGATCTATGTTTGAATCCCAGCTCATAAGCAAATAAGTATTCTAAACCTTATCTTCTTCTTCTGCAAAATGGGAATATTAGTACTAATCTCACAGAGTTTGTCTGAGTTCCCTAGTGCTGCCAAAACAAAAGACACCACAGTGAGTAGCTTTAAAATGAACAGAAATTTATTTTCTCACAGTTCCGGAGGCTGAAAGTCCAAATCAGAGTCTTGTTGTTGTTGTTGTTGTTGTTATTTGCCATCGAGTCGGCCCCAACTCCTAGCCAGGTTTGTTTCTTCTGTCAGACTCTCTCTTCGTTGCTAGTGACTGCCGACAACTCTTTGTGCTCCTTTGCTTGTAGGAAATCCTCACTTGACACCTATCTTCCCACTGTGTGTGTGTCTCTGTGTCTATCCTGCTCTTTTTTATAAAACACCACTCAGAAGAGATTAGGTTTAGGAAACTGCCCTACTCTGGTATGGCCTCATTAGCATAACAAAAGAAAGACCTTTTTCTTCCCCACAGGGTCATATTTATAAGTGTAGAGGTTAGGACTTCAATAAAACTTTTTTGGGGATACAATTCAATCCAATAACAAGGTTAATAAGAGATTTAAATGAATTAATGCAATAAAAAACTTAGCACAGTATCTGGCACATAGTACAAAACCTAACCAAACTCACTGCCATAAAGGCAATTCTGACTCATAGTGACCCCCTTGGTTTTCTGAGGTGGTAAATCTTTACGGAAATAGATTGCCTAGTATTCCTTATGTGGAGTGGCTGATGGGTTTGAACCTCCAACCTTCTGGTTAGCAGTCAAATGCCTTAGGCACTATGCCACCAGAGAGAGGTCCTGCCACATAGTAGTTGCCATAAGAGGTTCAAAGACCATTTATTCTGGAATTCACTTCCTCTTCTGACTTCATCTGTCTGCAAAGCTTATGACCATATTTCCTACTTTTTGTATTTATTGTGGACACATTCCTTAAAACTTTACAAATTCTTTGATCATTACAAATGTGCGAGTAATATTAATTTTGGCTATTAAAATATTATCAAGTAATTTTAATTGCATGTAATTTACAATTATATGTAATGATGTCATTTGGACTAAAAATAGCTACAGATTAAAGTTTTGTAATTCGTAAATCTCTCATTTAAAATAATCAATAATTCCAATACATAAATAAAATGAAGTTATCAAAAAATTGTAAATCACACCTCATTAAAAAAAATAAGATTTAAATTCTAAACATTACAATTTCACCAATATGTTATTACTGGGATAGTAACACTCAACATAGCTTACCTTTTATTACTAGACTTTTTTAGGATGGAAATATAATAGCGAGGTTTTGAAAGTGGAAGAAAACAAACTGCTAGGGTGGTTGCTGGCCCCTGTGGTTTAATGACCTCCCCTATCCCACCTGTCAAACCAACATTCATATTCTCTTCTTACTAATCCCTTCTTAAAGCTAAATTCAACATCTCCTTATCCAGGGCAAAGGTTCAGAGTGAGAGGGAAAATGAGGACATTACTAACCCTGACTACTAAACTGCAACATATTTCCACTGCTTACTATCTACTGTGTCATCCTTTTCAGCACCTCTTCCTCATCCTGGGCTTCTCTCCCAGTCTCCTCCACTATTACAATTGAACCTGAACATTTACATTAACATCTACTTGACTGGGAAACATTATACTGTGATGGCAACACATAAATGGAAGCATGGCTTGTATAGTTACCTTGCCAAAGATTGTCCAGGAAGGTACCAAACATTTAATACTAACTTTTTTCCATAAAAAGAGGCAAGGACAGAGTGGGGTTAAGATTAAAATTGGTTGAAACATAATAGCAGATACAGATATTTGAAAATCTTGGGGTGGTTTCTCTTAATTAAAGGAGTAAAAAGAGGAAAAGATTAAGAGACAAATGACCACATCTTTCATCCTCCTCAAATCTCCATAGTTTGCCCAGATGTGCATACACTACCATCCTTTATCTACCAACCACAGTGGCCATGGAGATGACTGTGACTCACAGTTACCCTATGCTCCACAGGGTTTTCAATGACTGATTTTTCAGAAGTTCATCACTAGGTCTTTCTCCTGAGGGGCCTTGGTGGACTTGAACCTCTAACCTTTCGGTTAGCAGCCAAGGACTTTAACCATTTGCACCACCCAGGAACAGAGACTAGGCATCCATTAAAGAAGCCAGGAATTTGCTCTGTGCTGTATATTCCAGATAATCTATCATTTGCACAGGAGCTACAGAGCTATTTAGGAAAAGTAGAAAGGAATTGTTTCCACCATGCTTGCAAACAAAAATTTAACTCTTAAAGGACAAAAGTCCTGACAGAGACGGGTCCAAAAATAAAAAGTAGAAGGAAAAAAGCTATTCTATGGAGGAAGCCAATTTTAAAAGGAAAAATAAAAAGTTGGCTTAAGCAACCACATTGTTTCTCATATCATACAGAACCTCTAAATAGATGGGACCGTGTCTGTCTTATATTAGATCCCAATTCTGGTGTATCCCATACCAGAGAAATGAGAGTCTGGCTCAGCCGCCAAGTCCTGGGCCCTCGTTTTCCCAGTGGCCTAAATCAATCCCCAGTCTAAGGCAAAATGCTGAGCGAGATGCCTAATTATTTCAGGCCACTAGGGTAAGCACTATTCCTGGAAACTCTACAGGCAATGCCATGGATGAGGGTTTCTAATTCTCTTTGGTGATTTGGTTCTCTGTAAACTGAGATTTTTCTCTCATTATTTCAGCCAGATAAGCAGGAAAGGCCACCTCTAGTCCTGAGATAGTGCCAATCAAGATCAATTTCAGTTCCTTTTCTGTGCAATGTAGGCTATTCTTTCTCTGCTGTCTTCCCTGACATCTGCCCTTATATTTTTATCTGATAATCAAATATCTGGTGAGAGAACATTTGGCAGCATTTGATGCTCGATGCTCACCCACTCACCCAAAGGCCTTTCAGCCCAAAAAATAACATGAATACACTGCAAAGCAGTTCCCTTGAGAGACCAACCTAAGACCCCTGGCTGTCAACCCCACAGACTTATCTCCCCTGGATATTTTGAGGGTGACGATCAAACCAATGCCTATAATATTGAGTGATTCAATGTGTTTATTACCAAATCTGTAATTCTTGGTTTTACACTGTACCCACAATGTATTCAGTTGTTTTCTAACTTGGAAAGACAAATATTGTCATTCTCATTTGGAAGATGGTGAAATAGATCTGGAAGTTTAAAAGCATTATCTAACGTGAATTCAACAAAGCGGAGTTGTAGCTGGAAAGTGGATCATCTGACACCTGTTACGGGTTTTGTAGGTCACACGCTCTCTGTAAGCTTAGTGTTGTACTTACCATATTCCTCCTTGATAGCTTCTGTTTAGTCTCTTAAACTGTGGATACCAGTAGAGCAGTACCAGGTGTACATTCCAGACACTTATACAATACACAGAGACTGAGCTGTCTGCCTGTTGGGTACAAAGCTCCAGGCTGAAAAATTTCTAAAGTTGTTAAAAGAATAAATTCCGCATTAGGGTGAAGGAGCAAACAGAATAAAAATATCCTCTCAGTTATTACAAACAAAAACCTAATCAATTTATTCTGTGCTTTTTCAAACTGCATTGCTCTCCCCCAACACACGCGTTAAATAAAGCAAACACATGTGCACCAAAATGGGTAGGTGTAAAAGAACATTCTGCACAATTATATCTAGGCTGCCACAGATTTATATCACATGCATACATATATCTGGGGAATATTAATTCATGATGACAGCTGAGCAGGACAAATGCAACAGAACACACGCTGGAATGAAATAAATAAATAAATAAACTACAAATCCCATGCAAACAAACACGCATACATGAGTTTTCCCTCAGCACACACGTGGTCGCACTTACACGAGCTTAACCACATTTTAAAACACCAAACACAGAGGAGGCTCAACTGCACGCAAGCTGCCCCCACAACTGCAACCGCGCCTCCGTCTACAGGCAGATTCTCGCGCGCCCCTGGGTACACTCGCTCTCACACCTGCATCCCGCTGCGCGAACATACGCGCGCCACGCGTACCTGCCCCCAACGCCCGCCCGGGAAGCGGCAACAGCTCGGGTGCTGGAGGCAGGGCCCGGTGGGGCGAGCACGCCGTGGGGCCGGGCCTCGGCGCCCAGGGAGGGGACAAGGGGCGGGCACGGGGCGGTGCCCGGCTCACGTGGGCGGGCGGGAGCAGCTGAAGGTCCGATCCGGAGCCTGGGCTGTCCTCTCGCGCGCAGCGCTGGCCGGGGCGGCGGCGGCGGCGACGAAGGAGGAGGAGGAGGAAGGCGGCGGTGGCGAAAGAGGAGGGGAGGACGGGGGCGGCGTCGGACTGGAGCCGAGCGGTGGCGCGAGCTGCCCAGGGCACTGTCGCGAGCTCGCCCACCGGGCCCCCACCCCCGACCTACACCCTGCCGTGCCCAGCTCTGCCCGCGTCCGTGCCCCCCCGGGGAGCGCGCCGGGGCTGTCCCCCGAATGACGGGCGGAAGATTCGACTTCGACGATGGCGGCACCTACTGCGGCGGCTGGGAGGAGGGCAAGGCGCACGGGCATGGCATCTGCACGGGGCCCAAGGGCCAGGGCGAGTACTCAGGCTCCTGGTCGCACGGTTTCGAGGTGGTCGGCGGCTACACCTGGCCCAGCGGAAACACCTACCAGGGCTACTGGGCGCAGGGCAAGCGGCATGGGCTGGGGGTGGAAACGAAGGGCAAGTGGATGTACCGGGGGGAGTGGTCACATGGTTTCAAGGGTCGCTACGGGGTCCGGCAGAGCCTGGCCACCCCCGCTCGCTACGAGGGTACCTGGAGTAACGGGCTGCAAGACGGGTACGGCGTGGAGACCTACGGGGACGGAGGTGAGCGGCGTCGCAGGCGGCTCGGCTGCTCCGCGAGGTGGTGTGGAGGGCTTTGCCCAAGCTGCGGGGAAGCGGGGAGGACTCGAGGCGCACGTGTCCGGAAACCCGCCAAAACACCTGGGGACTCATCCCACCCAGCTCCACGCTCTCCCTCCCCAAGGGTGCTTTGGGACCGGCCTGTTGCGCGAGGGTTTGGTCTGACCCCACTCTTGGAGCGAGCGGTGTGTCCAAACCCGGGGGAGTGAGGCGTGGATGTACCTGGCCGGCGCTAGAGCTGCACTGCCACCAGGAGGGCTGGGCTGGAGAGAGGGCGCTGTCACTTGAGCCCGTCACATTACGTTCCTGATCCCTCCCTCTCCCGGCGGGGTTTGAAATCGCCACTCGGGTGGAGTTAGAACGCTGTGGGGCTGGCGGTCCGTGCTGACTGCTCCCCGGATTGGTTTCAAGTGGAGTCATATTTCGATTCTGGCCCTCTAGTAGCCTAAAGATAGAAGCCAGAACCCTTTAACTAGGATGTTGGGGAATTGGACCTTATTTGGGGTGCATTTGGAAGCACTGTAGGGATGGGAAAAGAACAGCCACCTGATGCAGATAGGGTTCAAAGGGTGTGAACCCAGTTTTCATTTGGTTCTTTGAAGTACTGGTTTTTGGTCAAGAGAATAGTAGTTTTTGCAGACTTTGAGATCTTTGAACAGCTTACTAGCAAACGTTTTATAAATGAACTATGAAGTCTTAAGAAAATACATGCTTAAAAAATACAGTTGAAAATTATGTTCTTCTAGCCTGGGCTAGCTAAGTTAGCTGGTATAGCACTCCTGAAAACGGCAGCAGGGAAACACTGATTTGCATTAAGGTTTATGACCCAAACAGTGTGCCTGGCTGTGAAAAAAATTCACCTTATTTTAATATTTAACACTGCTTGCCAAAGAAATTGTGTACGTAAAAGACAGAAGTTACTTTTTTTCAATTAGGGAAGTGTACGTTGTTCAAACAGGTGTCAAAACCTGATGGATTTCCTTGTGTAGAAAGATGAATTGCTTATGCTTTGGCAAAATAAATTTTCTGATAATAAACAATCCTATTTAATTGAAAGGGTTGTAGGAGGCAGTGTCACCTTTTGGAATTAGTAGCTCAGAGGTGGAAGATACCAAAGGGATCCAATTAAAAGTTTCTCCAGCCCACTGCAACCTCGGTTACACCATTGCTTATATAAAAACTTACACAATTTGTGCCTTTACTCAGAATATTTATCCCGTGTTTCAAATGCTAAGCAGCACAGTGGTAGAATTTGCTAAAAATGACATCCTTCCGTCCTACGGTATAAATAAAGATACAATTTTTTGATGGATTTAAAAAAAAGCTTTCTCAAATACTTTCATATGGGCTGCATGAGTCTTGAGTTCTATAGTAGTTAATCACAGCTTGTAAGTGTTCCAAATGGGCACAGAATGCCTTGGTTGAAACCCTGCAAATTGTTAGTTTGTGATTGGATTTCATTAGTGGCCTCAACTCTGCTGTTTAACTAAATCCAATACCTTAAAGTGGAATGCAAAGTTTATTTTTTTCATGTGTGCATTATTTTATAACCTTTTAAGACTATGAATAATTCTCTCACTTCAGTTTGGGAATGTTAAAAATAAGGTTAGTTTTCTTTTAAAGTTCCTACTCATTGAACAAAATCCCTTGGTTTTATAGTAATCAAAATATATATGGTGTAGTAAAGATTGTCTATGTGCTGTAGAAGCCTAAAGAATTGTGCAGCATGGCTTTATGGATAATCTAGATGCTTTCTGTTTTAAAACTAACTTAAAAATGAAAAAGCAAACAAAAAGTCTTATATTTGGCATCACCACAGTACTTTGGTTTCTTTTCTAAAATCATCTACTACTACTACTACTATTATTATTACTACTACTACTACTACTACTACTACTACTACGGGAGCTCTGGTAGCGTAGTGCCTAAGGCACTACTTGACTGCTAACCAGAAGGCTGGCGGTTCAAACCCACCAGCCGCTCCTGAGAAGGAAGGTTGGGCAATCTACTTCCTTAGCGATACTGCCTCAGAAACCCAAGGAGGGGTCACTACGAGTCAGGGCTGACTTGACAGCATATAACAACAACTACTACTACAATTAGGAAGAAAGAAAACCTTTAAAATCCCTATTGAAAGTCCACTCTGCTTCTTTCAGATGTCACTTCATTTCATTAAAAACTGAAAACTCAGCTGCCATCGGGTCAGATCCAACTCATAGCAACCCCACCTTGGGTTTCCAAGGCAGTATCTCTATGGAAGTAGATTGCCCAATCTTCCTTCCGAGGAGTGGCTGGTGGGTTTGAACTGCCAGCCTTCTGGTTAGCAGTCAAGTACCTTAGGCACTATGCCACCAGAGTTCCCCCTTCATTTCATTAGAAGTCCTCAATCATGGCTTTGCCTATTGTGGCAAAATGAAAGTCTTGATGGAAGTATATTGCTAAAACTTGTTTCATACAAAGATTTTGGTCAAAATTGGAAATAATCACTTTCCCTATTCTTAAGATTGAGCTTATTTTTGTCTCCACTGTCCCCATTACCACATGTGCAGTCATGTCACCTTCTATTGGATTTAGAGACAATCTGATTCCATATATTTTATGGTGATATTAAATTAGAGGAAGAAAAATCAATCAGTGATTTTGTGTAAAGTGTTGAAGTAGAAACCCCCCGAGTATTAATTAAGAATAAATCACACCCATACTATGAAATCCAAATCTAGCTGCCCAGTAGTTTTTATGCAGATTCTGACCTGTTGTACTTCATTTTTCCACTAGTCATAAAACTACTGAAAATATTTAGGAAAACATGTTGCCTTCTTGACTCTATGCATACTTGTTTATACCCATTCATAGCGTATAAACTTAAATTTAGCATGTTGTTGATAGGTGCCGTGGACTTGGTTCCCATGCATAGAAGTCATAGTATACTCTAAATTTGACTGAAACTCATTGTGACCTGATGCCTTCCACTTCAAGATTATGTCATTAAAATGGCTAGATCCACAAGAATCAGCACCAAATAAAATCATGGTACATAATTTAAAACAAAACCTGTGAAGATAATTTTTACACTTGTGAAATACAGACTTATATTTAAAGAATCAAGAGAAACTAATTAGAACTTTATTTGAGCAGCAGGAAGAAGTTGGAACCCACCGGCTTCATAAAGAAACAAGAGAGGCCCTTTTTTCTAGCTTCATTGACTAAAGAAAATCTATTTTAAATTTCAAATGAACTGCAAACAGTTTGACTGTGAATAGGTTTCTAGCAATTATATGGAGGAATTCTACCATATATGGTGCTTTAACAGAATAGCATGGGAATATGGCGAATGCCTTTGTACCCCCTTTGCCTATATGGCAGTTAAGCAAAGACTTAAACCTTTTTTAACTGTTGCTATTGCCTTAAACTACTTGGATTTTCAAGCATTTTGGATACTAGTCTTACATTGGGAACTCTGGTGCGTAGTGCCTAGGGCATTTGACTGCTAACCAGAAGGCTGGCGGTTGACACCCACCAGCCACTCCTCAGAAGGAAGATTGGGCAATCTATCTACTTCTGTAGAGATACTGCCTTGGGAACCCAAGGAGGGGTCACTATGAGTTGAATGGACTCAACAGCAGTGAGTTTGGTTTTTTTGGTTTAATGTTACATTTGGAGATACCAGTCTAAGGAAATGAGTTGCTAATTTTCCCTCAGTATTAAACATTTACCCAGATACTATGATTGTGTTTGAAAAGTATAAATACTTACTGATATTAAATGGCTTCTTTGAAAATTATTACACCAAAGTTAATGTCATTGTGTGGAAAATTAGAATTAAAAGGCTGATTACAGCATTTCTCTTTTTATTTTTTCAAGAATCTCAAGTTCAGTATTAAATAGAAAGTGATTTATTTTAGTATGTTTAACTCGGGCTGTATAAATTTTATTCTAGAACTTAAATTTTAACCATGTAGACAGAAAAAAAGTCAAAGTTGGAATTTCCTAATAATTCATTTCCCCATTGAGGTCAATTGACTGCTAACCAGAAGGTTGGTGGTTCAAACCTATCAGCCAGTCCGCAGAAGAAAGACTGGACAGTCTGCTTCTGTAAAGATTTACCTCCTCAAACCCAAATGGGGTCACTGTGAGTCAGAATCAACTCAATGGCAGTTTTTTGGTTTTTAGTATTCAGTAGAAAACTTCTTAAAGTCATTCTGTGTGTGACTGTCTTATCATTTAGGGTTAATCCCTTTGAGATAGCTATGGCTCATCTACCTCCTCAGAAGTACATATATGTCAAGTTAAGATTTTCACATATATCCCGAATATGATACAGTACTACACCTGTTGAGTATTTGCAATATCAAATGCAAAGTGACTGCAAGATGGATCTATATAATCAGAAACTAAAAGAGGTCAAGACAGACTGTAATCATTAATTATTTTCTGACATTATGAATAATACAAAAATAATTACAGTGAAATATTTCCACATAGTTTCTTTTGGCGGACACTGTAACTTAAACTTTGGTATTTTCCTTGTACCAAAACCAAACCAAACTCACTACTGTGGAGTCCATTCAACTCATAGTGACCCCTCCTTGGGTTTCCGAGGCAGTATCTCTACAGAAGTAGATAGATTGCCCAATCTTCCTTCTGAGGAGTGGCTGGTGAATTTGAACCGCCAGCCTTCTGACTGGCAGTCAAATGCCTTAGGCACTACGCTAAAGGCATAGCAGTCATTTAAAAAAGTGATTTGGTGTCAACAGTCTTGGGCTGAGTTGAGTTCCATAATGGAATAGATGGAAGGTTACTACTTGCCTTATCTCAATAAAGGTAAAGAGTGTAATCTGTTTAGCCACCATAGATATTTACCATAAACAGAGTTATTGAACTCACAGGATCTATAAATATCAATGCCCACAGACCCAAACCCCTTCAGCCAGGAATCTGGGAATTTTGTGTTCTCTTATATACGAATTCCTGCCCTCAAGGGCTTCTATTCTATAACATGATTCACAGTTCAATGGCAGAGGGCTAGGGATAGAGAAGAGCAACAAGGCGAAAAGAGGAGATTTGACAAGTAATATGGGACATGGCAATCTACTTCCGTAGTGATACTGCCTCGGAGGGATCGCTATGAGTCCGGTCCTACTGGACGGCACATAACAACAACAACATGGGACAAATGTAATTCCCCGTGTTTTTCCGTAATGTTTCAGTGTATATACTGTATTCGTCACATCACTCTTAGCTCAAAAAGTTTCACCTAATCTTAACTGGTAATACGAAATATTAAACGTAAGTGAATGAAAAGTGTTTCTTAGGGTTGACTTGGAAATGCGTTGGCTTTGACCATGGGCCTGCGCACATCTGCTTTATGGTTTCCCCAGAAGTGTGCATTCCTCATGTTTGTAGAAGCTCCCAATCCCTTTTAGCACCCACTCACGCCGTGCTTTCCTACTGTTTCTCGAAGGTACGTACCAGGGCCAGTGGGCCGGCGGCATGCGTCAAGGCTACGGCGTGCGCCAGAGCGTGCCCTATGGCATGGCCACGGTGATCCGCTCACCACTGCGCACCTCGCTGGCCTCGCTGGGCAGCGAGCAGAGCAATGGCAGCGTGCTCCACGACGCCGCGGTCGCCGCAGACAGCCCAGCCGGCACCCGCGGTGGCTTCGTGCTCAACTTCCACGCAGATGCTGAGCTCTCGGCCGGGAAGAAGAAAGGCGGTCTCTTCCGAAGAGGCTCCCTTCTCGGAAGCATAAAACTCCGCAAGTCAGAATCCAAGTCTTCCATCTCAAGCAAGCGCAGCTCGGTTCGCAGCGACGCGGCCATGAGCAGAATCAGTTCCAGCGATGCCAACTCCACGATTAGTTTCGGCGATGTCGATTGTGATTTTTGTCCCATGGAAGACCACGTTGACGCCACCACCACGGAAACCTACATGGGCGAGTGGAAGAATGACAAGCGCAATGGTTTCGGCATAAGCGAGCGCTCTAATGGCATGAAGTATGAAGGAGAATGGGCAAATAACAAGAGGCATGGATATGGCTGTACCGTTTTTCCCGATGGCTCCAAAGAAGAGGGAAAATACAAAAATAATATTCTGGTCCGTGGAATAAGGAAGCAGCTCATACCAATAAGAAATACAAAAACTAGGGAGAAGGTGGACAGAGCTATTGAAGGTGCACAAAGGGCAGCCGCCATGGCAAGAACCAAAGTGGAAATTGCAAATTCAAGGTACGTAATTACAGGGTGGATGAGTTTTCTGGGTCGTTCAATCCAGTGGGATGGCAAATACTGTCATTCTGTTGGCGACACCACCAAAGAGGTTCTCAGCAACTAAAAATCAAACCTGGCAAATGATTAAAGCCATTAGAATGAAAGTCAAAAATGTGCTTATACTATTCTGAAATTTATTTGCCGTCATCAAAAATGCTGAAGGCACATTTGAGCTCCCCTATTTCTTTCCTAGTATGAAATAGCATGATCTTCAGTCAGACTACATTTTCCTGAGTCTGGAAGTTGCATTAGGAAAAAAAAAGAAAATTTATCTAACACTGCCCCAAAGAGTACTGTGTGCTTTGTGTGCTAGAAAGAAAATAATCGATCCATATGAAAGCACACCTATTTTAAATGTGTACCTTTATTCTCATATTTAAGTTGAGCTGTGTACAACTTGCCCTATAAGATTAATGCATAAAATTTAAATTGCTTTTGTGGATGCCTTATAGGTGAGATGGGTTTTGAGAAGGCACCAAGATCTAAAAGGCAAAAATGGGAGTTACATGACAAAATCTTTGTGCATTGTTTAAAGTAGCAGAGGTCCTCTACCTGGGGAAGGCGGGGTGGAGGACTGAGCCTCCCAAAAATGGCCACATTCTGTGCAGGAAAAGATTAGATCACTTGTATATTAAAATGAAAGGGATGGGGGGAGCTTGACATGGACAGATGGGACTGTGAATTTGCCAAGGTAAGAGAAAGTAGAGCAGTAGGGAAGGGCTGGAGTGAGTAGAAAAACACCGGTGAATAATAGATTGAGGATGGCATGTACATGGGCCCATGGGCCTGGGAGGAAAATGTGTTTGAAGTTTCACCATTAATAGAGGAGTTCAGGGATCAAGAAAAAGGGGTGAAGGAATCTATTAGGAATAGCATTTTAGTAGGGATGATGTCGTTAGTTAGAGAAGAAAAAGGCTTATAAATGAGCTTTTTATTTTTAGGCTTATCCAAGTGGGTACAGACTGGTCACAGTTTTATGTGACTTGAGGCATAAATTTATCATAGACTATTAAAAATCCATTTCCTGCTTCAGTAACAATATTCTTCTGTAGAAGTAAACCTCTTTTTGAAACCATAAAAAAAAATGATTATTTCTTCAAGTTTTTACTCTTACCATTAAATTAACAAGCACTTTTTTGTTTGGTTGAACCATATGAAATTTCTAATATTTGACCTTTTTATGTACAGAAAAAAATGGCTATTTCTGTTCATTAAGTAGTTCTAAATATTTAATGGTATTTAAACTAATACTTCCAGATTTCTGATGTTTCTTTCTTTTTTGAATGAGCATTATATATTAGGCTACTGTTTTACTTCAGAGTATCTGAAACACCACTTGGAAATGGAAGGAGCCATATTTTTTGCATTATGCTTAGGTATAAATCCATTACTGCTGTGTTGATTCTGACTCATAGTGACCCTGTAAGACAGAATGGAACTGTCCTACAAGATTTCCAAGGAGTCATGGAATCAGACTGCCACATCTTTCTCCCTTGGAGTGACTGGTAGATTCAAACAGTTGACCTTGCATTTAGCAACTCACCATTTAACTAGTGCGCCACCAGGGCTCCTTTATGCTTAGGTACATACTATGTTAAAAGTCCTTATTAAATTTTCCATTTTTACTCATAGCTAATCCTGTTGTGATGTCAATCAGTACAAACTTTCACCAAGGATCTCTCTTGTCTTCTTTGCCAATGTTTTATTTTAGATCTTAGTAGTCTCTGGTCACCAAGCATTGGATCTACTTGCTTTTCAGTTTATAGATAGATATACTTGATACAATCTTGCTGGGTTCCCTGGCCCTCTGCTGACTTTTCAGAGCTGGTGATACACCTTTTGCCCTGGTATCTTGTGTTAAATGCCCTTCTGGATTCTTCCATTTTCTTTTCAACTGACAACCTAGTGATATACTAGAGACAGGTCAGTCTTGGCAGATAGAAAATAAGGATGTGGAGGACACTTTACCAAGTGACTTCCATATGCTTGTTCTAATTATTGACTTTTATAATTAGTTGAAAGTGAAGGAATCTGCCTAACAGATACCAAGATGATCTCTGATTACACAAGCATGAAACTCTTACCCCAGTCCTAGTCACGTTCTATTAAAGTCTTTTTGAAGTAGGTGGAATATTGTAATATATAGATTTATGACCAGGAAATCTTTGGCTTAAGACCTTATGCTTTTCACCAGTTAACTACTTCTTAAAGATTACGCAAACAACAAAAAACAAACACACTGCTGTTGAGTCGATCCCAACTCATAGTCATAACAAGTCATAGTGACCTCTCCTTGGGTTTTTGAGGCAATATATCTATGGAAGTAGATTGCCCAATTGCCCAATCTTCCTCCCAAGGAGTGGCTGATGGGTTTGAACTGCTAGCCTTCTGGTTAGCAGTCAAATGCCTTAGGCACTACACCACCAGAGCTCCTTTAAAGATTACACTATTTCAAAAATACTCAGTTGACTTCTGTTTTACTTATTTTCACTGTGTGAGTCCCATTTCCAGATTCCTTGCATCAGTGAATGCCTCCATACAGAGTTTATCAACTTGTTTTTGGAGAAAGTAGCTGAAGGACCAAGTAGCTTTTTTTTTTTTTTTTAATGCATTTTATTGAAATATAATTTATGTACAGTGAAATACACAAAACTAAAGTGACATGGGTCAATGCTTTTTTTTTTTTTAGCAGCATTCCCCCTCTCCCCTGGCAACCAACAAAGTTTCCCTCCATATGTAAACCTTTCCTTGACCCTCCACAACAATGAACTAATACTGTATTTGTCCTTCTGTGATTGACTTCTTTCACTCAGCATAACGTCCTCCAAGTTCATCCATATTATGCGGTGTTTTGTAGACTTTACATTGTTCTTTAGCACTGCATAGCATTCCATTATGTATACGTACCATCTGCTCTTCCGTTGATGGGCATGTAGTTTGTTTCCATCTTTTTGCTATTGTAAATAGTGCTGCGATGAACATGAGTGTGCATATATCTGTTCCTGCCTGGCTGTCACCTCTCTAGGATATATACCTAGTAATGGGATTGCTGGATCAAATGGTATCTCCAATTCCAGCTTTCTAAGGAATCACCATATTGCTTTCCACAGTGGTTGTATCACTTCACAGTCCCACCAGCAGTGTATGAGAGTCTCAATCTCTCTACATCCCCACCAGAATTTGTTATTTTCTGTCTCGTTGAACCTTGCCATCAGTGCTGGGGTGAGACAGTATCTCATTGCTGTTTTGATTTGCAGCTCTCTGATGGCCAGTGATTGTGAGCATCTCTTCATGTATTAGCTGGCCACCCGAATGAAGTGAAGTGTCTATTCATGTCTTCTGGCCATTTTTCAATTGGATTAATTCCTTTGGTGTTGAGGCATTGGAGTTTTCTATAAATCTTAGAAATAAGTACCTTACCAGATATGTAATTATCAGCAAATATGAATTTGTTGCTGTCATTTTTGTTATGTGCTTTTTCGTGGTGTCAATTTCTTTGTTCCATATAATTTTCTATGGTGAGCTCATTTTGTTTATGAATCGTGTTATCACTTCCTTCATTGCTATCGTTTTAGTATTTTGCTAAATATTTGTGCTGGTCCTTTTTTTTATTTTGATGTGAAGGTTTATCACTTTTCTTTGAGGTTACCCTGTGATTTATAGTTTTCTTCCCAAGTTTAAAAAAGTCTGTTCTGTCTTGTAGTTGTCTTGACTTCCCTTCCATCTAGAAGTTCTGTAACGACACAGTTTTTTCCCTCTTTTTGGTTTGTAGTTGTCTCATTTGTCAATTGGTGTCTCTGGTTCCCTGTTTACAATCTTGTAGGCTTATTTGCTTTGGATACTTCCATAGCTGGGTTCGTTTCTGGGTTATGTCACCATGTGTGTTAATGGTTAGTTGTTGCTTCTCTGTCCGAAGGATCTCTTATAAGGTTGGTCTGGTTTTAATAAATTCCCTTAATTTCTGCTTATCTGGAAATGTCCTAATTTCACCATTATATTTTTTGCTAGGTATATAATTTTTGGCTGGAAATTTTTCTCTTTCAGGGTTTTATATATTCCATCCCATTGTCTTCTCACTTGCATGGTTTCTGCCAAGAAATCCAAGCTTAGTCTTATTGGTTGCCCCTTGTAGGTAACTTATCATGTTTCTCGTGCTGCTCTCATGATTCTTTCTTTGTCTTTGGTTTTGGTGAGTTTGGTGATGGTATGTCTTGGTGATTTTCTTTTGGGGTCTGTCCTGTTTGGGGTTCATTGGACTTCTTGAATGGATATATTCTCATCTTTTCATCATACCAGGAAAATTCTCTTCCAACAAATCTTCAACAATTTTCTCTGTGGTTTTATTTGTGTCTTCCTGTTCTGGAATTCCAGTTACACGTAGGTTATTCCTTTTGATGGTATCCCACATGAACCTTAGGCTTTCTTCATATTGTTTTGATCTTTTTTCTGATTTATCCCTTTCCAAAGAAGTGTTCGGATACTTGCCTTCAATCTTACTAATTCTGTCTTCCATTGATTCAATTCTGCTCCTTTGCCTATTCAATGTCTTATGTATTTCTGAAAATTTAGTATCAGTCTTCTGGATTTCTGTGTATAGGTTTTGTATCATTTCTGGTTTTTCATTTATTTTGTCATTTTGTTCTTGTATTGTCTTTCGAAACTGTTGTAGGGTTTTCTCTGTGTTTTCCTCAATTGTGTCAGTATTTTCCTTGATCTGCCTCTCAATTGGTTGAAGATACCTAAATATAATTCTTTTGAATTCCTTATCAGGGAGTTCCAATGCTACATCTTCCTCAGGGATGTATTTTGGGTCTGTATCCTGGTGCCTTGTTTCTCCTGCTTTATCTTGCTTCTTTGTGTGCACTTTGATGCTCTGTTGTCTCCGAGGCATTGTGACATTTTTGTGTTTATATTTAATTGGTGATTTTATGTTGGAGTGACTTGCCTATGATTTTCGT